ATCCTGTACTCCTCTGCCTAGTGACTTACTAGGAATGCAGTCTTTAAATCTGTTTTTGTCAACGTTGGCGGCGTTTCTCCCTCCCATACACTGATCGTCGCTCGAAGATGCAGTGAACGACTCCAACAACTGTGGAAAAGGTTTGACGGAGACGGGCAACAACTGCCAACATTAAGCGTGTTTGTTTATCTCGTTTACTCGTCTGGTTATCAGATTTGATTTAGTTATTTGGAAAGGGTTTTTACATCAAAGAGATGCTGAGTCCTTGTTCCTCAAAATGCTTACCTGGAACTGCGCCTGGATGCCGTTGGTGCCCGTCTTCTTGTCGCACTTCTTAAGTTTGGCGTAATGTTGATGGAACTGATCAGCTTTAATAGCTGTGTTCTCTGACAGGCTGGACTCTAACAGAACATCGAAAATGAACCTGTATTGCTTCTGTTTAAACAATAACCCAGAAAGGTACGGGATCACTTTCAGGGACTTACCAATTACAAGGCATTAGTCAAGAATCAGTTTGCTGCTGTATCGTCATCAGTTATTAAATTTCGAACTCCAAAATCGACAGCGGAAACACCGACGACTCACCAAAGTCTGTACCATGAGGAAGCGTTGCTCCCTCATGTTACGGACAAATTGCAAGACATCAACTTGGCCCTCTGCCTCGGCCATGTCAAGCATCGAATCCACAGAGATGAACGTTCCTGTGCGACCAACTCCAGCGCTGAAGATGGCAATTAATGAGACAAAAACTAGACTCAAGTGTGTTAAGGAATGATCTTACTGTACATCTGTATCCTTAATACATACATAGTTACTCATTTTTTGTGGCAAATGAAAATGCAGACTTGTTTCTTATGGAAGTGCGTGATTTAATCACTCAAAGAGAACAGAGAACATCAAATAACCTGCAATGAACCACAATAGGTCCGTGTTGGGACGTTTCTGTTGCCCGGATTACCCTTACAAACTGAAGTAATGGTGAGGATTCAGGTACTTTCATGTCTGGCCAGGTGATGTACTGGAAATGGATCAACTCACGATATTCACCTTCAGGCTCACTGCTCTGTATAAGATGACAACGATATTTTAAAAAACATATTAGGATGTTTTGTAATAACATCAGAATAACAAGCGATCACGGTTCATAGAGAGATTTTTCAATTGCCAATCAATCATGCGCTCAAATGTAAATCTTTGGTATTAATGTTTCGTAAATACGTATAGCACACGTGTACTGTAGACATTCTCAGCCCAGATATTTTTTAGTTGCACAGAAAAACAATTTTTAGTGAGAGATTTACTATTGTACTTACTTTGGAAATGTGGAAAGTCCTCACTACAAAATTGGAGTGTGGTGTTTCGTCAACTTTCCGGATAAACTGATCACCGTAAACTGCCCCGTTCTCATCTGGCCAATACTGCTCGCATTTCCCCTTGGTAAGTCAGAGAAGTCCAAAGGTGACACTCTATTAGTTTTTTAAGTACGTACATTTTTGTAGGCGATTATTTTGATATGCGATGAAATAAAATGCAATGTCATATTTTCCTGAAAGTACGTCAACCTGCCTAGTAAAGCTGTAGCCATTGGAAACCATTCTGTGTGTCCAAAAGGTTTAGTCTTGATAAGGGAAAATGCAAACATTTTAAGATCTTCGTTTCGGTGATACCTTGCCATTCTCGATCAAGTTTGTCAGCATGACGATCTTTCCAACTCTCTCCTGCCACACCATGCGCCACATGTCGTTCACTGATGTCGAAGAGGGTCCTAAGATTTGAAATATCGGATGGATTCTTAAACTTAGGCTTCTGTTTCTTTTCAAAAACCTTTTTTTTTGGGTGTCTTTTCCTGCTCTCTCAAGAGTCGTCCAATACAGCACTGATTTTTTCATTAAAAATATTTTAGATCTATATAGGTCTACTTCATGATCTTGTTAGCAAAGTTCAGTAATGAGTGACAATTTACAGTTGCGAGGGTATGTTTCTGAACAATCAGCCTTTTCCTCGCGCTATCAAAATGTTGAGTGTAAGTCTACTGTTAAAGTAATCGGAATTGGCCCACATTTCACTCTGTGATTTCATTTCTAAACAAAATCAGTTTGTGAGCCTTGTGTCCTTGAATCAACCTTAAAATTAACCTTAATCAAACTTAACGGGGCCCCCATAAAAAGGACATTAAATATTTCATATTTTTTAACATGAGATAACCATATCATACGCAGTAAATAAAGCATAACTATAAACCGTGTCCCTTGATGAGGGGCTCTCTAAACCTTTAACATAAAAATATTAATAAAATACCTACCTTGACAAGCAATATACTTGGATTCTTGCTTGTAGCCCTACGCAAAGAGTAAAGAACGGCATATTATTGGACTGGACAAGGAGGCAAATCAGAATTAACTACAATTAACAATTTAAAAATCACGGTAAGAAACTCACGTTGATGTAAGAGGCGTTGATGTAGTCTGATTGTGGGTCATCTTTGAGACACTCTAAGACAACGCGAGAACAGTCATCTGCCAGAAATGTAAAAAGTGACAATTTTTGTGCTTTGCAGTTTAAGGCATTTTTTTGTTTTAACTCACACCAGGAGCATGCAGAGAGTTGTATCAATAAATCTGCTGCAAGTAGGGGAAGGGGAAGGTTGGAAGAATTGGAAACAATAGCATAATTCTTTACCTCCTAGAAAATGCAATTAAGTCATTCTATGACTTTAGGGTCCAAAACTGTGACATTTGTTTGTGTTCCTGTCACGCCTGACCTGTGTAATTCGACATGGAAATATCACTGAAATTGATTTCAAACTATTTCTATTTGTTTGAAAGGTAATTTGCATTAACCAGTACTCTTGGAAATTAGAGAATGTGTTCTGAACTTACAAAAATCATATGTCAGATGTAAGAGGGTCGCACAAAAATGGGACCCTTAATTTATAGAATGACCCAATTCTAAAACTAAATAACATGCAGGGTACATATGTTACAGTGAACCCTCACAGGCCAAAATGTTGTTGTATCTGTTCTTCTTCTTGTTGTGATCTTGTTTGGCCACACTCCAAGAGTAAAGAGGTTCTCCTGGGATCAACTGTTGGAGAGAGAATGTAAAAAAATATATTAACTCATAATGTACACTTATTCAGGAACCCGATCAAGGCGTCATACTTTTCATCCCAGTTCCCCTGGCCCACAAACATTCCTAAAACCATCTCAGCTCTCTGAAAATGAGCTCTATGCTCCCATTTCTAGCATAAATGACTGATAAAAACGACTGTCTTTGTCCTTCAAGGCACCAAATATATATTTTTGGGTGGAGAGAGGCACGGGAGTGAAGTGACTTGCCTGAGGTAACATCACGCAACCAGCATCTCGATTTGAATCCTGAACCTATTATATTTATGAGTCGTCTTGACACAAACCATGTCCACGCACCTCCTCAAATAATTTGTGATGAGATTAAGTATAATTTTGGTCCGTTTTAGTGTTTAGCAGTCCAAGCTTATGTTTAATCGCTTTTCGATTATCTTAAACTACAAACGCCATGTTCCTGTTCTATGAAGATAGTAATACTCCTTAAGCCACACTTCACTTGCAATCCCCAATGTGAACTTGAAAGTTAAAATAAACTTAATCTACCTTTGAAAACGACCCAATTTTCTCACTCTAATACCCATAATCTTGAGATGTTGGTTTGCAGGTACACCATGGAAGAATCGGTTCTTCTCAGAAACACACTTCTTCTAAATCCTGGCCGACACATCGAGTTAGCACTCACACGTTCTTTTCCGAACCACAAACCTTCTTATAAGGTAGTGTCCACAAAACCCATAGCTCATGTAACCTCCACAATGCAAAGAGTCAAATCTTACTTATCCATAATCTTTTTATTCCAAGCATGTACTTCATCTTCTCTATTTAGTATTTGAAGGTTTGTCATTGATTATAAGCAAGCCTTTGAACCCTTATACGAAGCAGATTAGACTTGACAAGCAGATTCACCTCATAGTCTTGTTGAAATCCACTGATCTTTCCCGATGTCTTCCTCTTGATATATTCTGCCAGATGTGCCATGGCCACCGGACCGGCTTGGGGGAAACTTTGAGAGGTCTTGGGCTTGGCATGAGGCTTGACATAGGGTGTAGACTTATTAAGAGGTGCATTAGAAGATGGGCCAGGTTTTGATGAATCAGTGGACGTTGTGGATGGTCTAAGTTTGGGCGACTCATCAGCTGATACCGATGTATCAGCAGATGCTCTGTAGCCGGACCTCGATGGACGACCCTGAAGTTCAACTGAAGATTAGTTTTGAATAAATTTCATTTGGCTACCGAAACACTTCAAATTGATCACATGCTTATTTGCATTTTAATGCACTTATGCCATTTACGGTATAACATGAATTTAGGCAACGAACCTCAAATTACTACACACAACATCTTGCGCCCATTGAGTGTATTGTCTGTTTGACGAACACTAGGTTCTTTTACTGCTTATTTTGGCAATGTTCATGTAAGTTTGATTGCTTAGGTATCATTCAAATCCTCTCTTTTTGCACCCAGGAATCTAAACATACCATTACACTGTTTGGCGTCTGCACAAATAGCCTGGATCCCGTCCACATTGCTGTCTACACTCAGTGATTTCCCTCTCTGCTGTCGTCTCTTCCTATGGTAAGAGAGTGACCAAAAACTCTTGAAGTGTATCATTTGACAGGGTCTTCCGTATTTAATGTAGCAACTATGATAGCCTACCTCACAAAAGCAGCTACCAGCAGCGTAGTAACCACGGCTAACAAGAGGAAAACAACGACGCCCACAACAATGCCTACAAAACTACTCCCAGGAGTTTCGGGATCACCTGTTGGAGTGAAAACAATGAAAGTAAAGAAAAAAGCTGTCCATATTCATGGTCTTTTTTGTTGGTGCGTTTCTCGGTTGTGCCCGGTTTGTGCTTTCATCAGTTCTGAAAGTTTAGTCAATTTGCTACCCAACTTTGAAGCCAATGCTGTTTATCCAAAGGGGTAAGGTTCATTCAGCGAGTTGTAAACTTGACCTCACTTATACTCCCTGTATCACATCATGCTGTAATATACTGCTGGCAATCTTCAAATAAGGATCGCATTTCCTTTGAAACCTCATTATTGATAGCGGTGGGTAGTTGCATCGGTTGTTTCAACCATCATATAGCAAAATATAATCCCATAATAGAATTCTAATCATGAAGTTTTGAAGTTAATGGCCTCGGTGCAAGATTGATAGAGAGCGCTTTGATACCCAAGAAGGGCATTCAGTTAAGCGTACCCACTTTGCTATCCTTGAATTGTCGTTAGAAATCATCATCAGGACCGCAAACTCTTTTATGCAGAAATTAAAATTCGCAAGTAATTTTAAACTGAATTTTGCTTTTTACCAATGTTAACCGTGTCTTGTAGTGTCCAGATTTTCCATGGTCCTGGTCCTATGCGAGTGTATGCCCGAACTCTGATCGAGTAGTTTGTGTATGACGAGAAATTGGGGATGGTAACCGATCGATTTGTGACATTATTGCTGTCGATAGTTTCGAATTGTCCCTGCTGGTTTTGCTTTTGAAATCTGTACTCGAAGTGTGTGATGTTTCCTTGTCTACTGCCACACGGAATTGGATCCCAGGAAAATGTGATGATGTCATTGGACACTGCTCTTCGAAGAACCGGTGCTGCAATTGGTACTGCAAAAGACCAAACTCACAATCAGTTCACTGGGTGAAAATTGATGTTTGATTGCACTCTGCCCTGACATTAAATCTTGCTCCTACATCGTCAGTCAGGACTGCACCAAGTACATAATGACAAGATTCACATTTACACCATAGAGTCCCCATCTCTAGTTTGGAAAATAAAAAAGCACTATTCCAAACCAGCAGATTAAAACGAATTCCTCATATTTTACTAAAATTCGCAAACACAATTGTAATGGAATCTTTTCACCAAAACAATGATATGAAATTTTTAACACTGCTTACTGCTTTCATTAGTAAATAAATCGATGGAATTTATTTCGCCTTCACCAGCATCATTAACCGGAGCGATGTTTACTCGGTACTTTGAGTAAAAAGCAGTGAAATAAATTGTAGCGTGAGTGGTGTTGACTGTTCCAACACATGTAACAACTAACGATGGCTGCCTCTTGCAATGGTCCAACTCGAAAAGTTCGTATGTAACTCTGTACGATGTTGCACGGCATCTTTCATCCAAGGCCGTCCATTGAATAGCGAATTCATTCCGTCTGGGTGACACAACGTGGCTAATAATATCTGACACGGCAAATGGCACTGCAGGGAGAAGAGTGATTCAGAAAAACAAATACCTATCACTTAATCAGTCCAGAAAATACATATTGTCTTAACCAATGCACACACACAAATTTGTTTCCTATAAGTCAGTAACAAATTCTGACCATTACAAATTAAGATGGATTTGCGCCGGGGAGATGTAAATTAATTTTGGATTTTGCCCTGCCCGACGTGTATTTAACGCTGTAGACTCATTGTATGCCCCGAAGGCTTGTGAAAAAACCCACAAGCGTACTTGGGTGGGACTCGAACCCACGACCTCCTGCTTACTAGTGCAGAGGTCTTAACCACTCGACCACCGAGCTTGCCGGCATCGGCTGGCTGGCTGGCTGGTTCGAATCGGATGTAGCAGCGGGTACCGCAAACAACCATTTCAAAGACAGATTTGCGCCGGGGAGATGTAAATTAATTCTGACCATTTGAAATCTTAGACGAGGAAATTCAACAAAAGATAAGTAATAACTTACCGTGAGTAAACAATTAGTATTACTGGTGTATGTTGCATTAAGCAGTAATATTATGCACAACTTTAGTCCAATCTTGTACAGTGCTAACGCCCCCCCCCGTTAAATACGAAATACACTCGGTGAACAAGTACTCACCATCAGTCTTCGTTAGTCGTGTATCATTGGACCGCTCTCCTCTCCCTGCTTTCGTGTAAGCCCAGACACTCACGGTGTATCGTGTACAGGCTAGCAGTCCAGTGTATTTCACTGAAGTGGTTGATACATTCTTTTCATCCACAGTCAGGTTGGATGTTTTCAAACTTGTTGCGTAGAGGATAATCTCACCACCCCTGCTCCCGCAAGGGATGGAGTTCCATGTCCACGTGATGCTTCCTATCGTTACTACGCTGCTGTTGAATGTAGGAGAAGCCTGTGGAGCTGGTACATCATAATTATCTTTAATTATGTATGAGTGTAACTTATACACAAAGTGCTATTCAACCAAATTTGTGACCTTTGACTTCAGCCTATTTTTGTAGAAAATGATGTACGTTTTATCTGTTACACTCACATTGATATTGTAAATTAAAGTAAGAGGTTTAATAGGAAATACCGACCAAGTAAACAAACGATAAAAGACAGTTACAAATGCATTGTGCAAATAAACTTACTGGTTTCCCCAGTTGTTACTTCAGACGATGTCATCAAACCATCACCAAAGTCATTTTGCGGTGTAACCGACACACTGTAAGTAGAGTATGCTTCCAGGTCGTCTAAAGTGATGTTCGAAGCGGTTACATTCATCCATTCAATTTGTCGACGAACTTCGCTACACTTGCCCAGGTTTATGAGGTCAACGGTAACCAGATAGTTGGATGCAGGACAAGGGTAATCTTCGGTGATATATGGCGCGGTCCACGATAGAATCAAGCTGTTATAATTGGTTTTCCGGGCGGTAATTTGAGCTCCAATTGCACCTGGGGCTTTAACAAGAAAAATGACAACTATTCTATAAAATGCAAGACATTACAGTCTTTCGCGTTCAAATGACCTCATTTTCAATGTTTGTGTTGCTAGTTCACGTTGAGTTGCTGTTGCACCCTTTGGGTTATCGTACTGATGCAAATTTCCTTGAGCAAAACTGTTTCATTAAAGACAGAAACTATTCGGTTCTGCATTGATATGTGCACGAAATTCGACTGCATTCATTGATTTTTTACAATCGGATATTTCTTTCTGTTTGCTTATTCATACAGAAGTTTTCTCAAGCAATGAAGAACCCCTTTTCAGACTGTTTACGTTTTCACCAGATGACAGCAACAACGCCATCTAGTGTCCATAAAAATTATATAACTTTAATTCTTTAAATAAAAAGTGCACCCTCCAAAACACGCAAATGCCAAAGGATGCCAATTGTTTCTTACATTGAAGGAAGGTATAAAACAACCATTCCCTGGACCCTTTATCGGCAAGGTTTCCAGTTGTATTTCCACAAATGAGTGATTTCACCTTTACAAAATAGAACTTTCTTTACCCTGGGCAGAGCCGATGTAATCAAATTCATCTCCCAATTTTACTAATTATTTCATTAAAAAAAATTACGACCAAATGCAAAACCCTTCCGTTAATTTGTACCTCTGTTCATGCTGAAAAGCTTAGTTTTTTCTTAAAATCACTTTTTGCGCATCTCTGTACCCTTCTTCAATTTGTTAAAACATTAAAAATTGACCAAGCATTTCTGGACAGGTGAGGGCGCTTTTGCTTTGATATAAATCCAGGAAGACATGGTTCGGGTTGCATGTTTTCATGTTCAAATGGTGAACCCCAAATTTGCTATCTGGGAACATTTCTGTGAAAAGGACTTTTGCTGGGTTATTACCATATACTTGCACAGCAATAAATTGCCAAAGAAAATAGCAGTGGTTAAAAAAATCAAGAAATTTTCTGTGCACAAATAAGTGCAACATTGAGATTCAGTGCTTGGGATGACATCATAGTTTGGCTCATGAATGTGCAAGTGTGCATCAGCATAAAAACCAAAAAATCGAAATGTGGGTTAAAATTGCAAACAAAAATTCAAAATCAGGTTAATTGGAACCCAAAGATGCAATTTCAAGGGTGTTTAGTAAAGTTTATAAAATATATTTCCATTTCCTGGTTCCTTTTACATGGGGACTTCCCCTGAACTGAGAAAATTTCTACCAGAGCCGGCTTCTAACCAAGTCCCATTGGGATTGTATATATGTAAATATCTCAGCCAGGGATTCACACAGACGTTGCTTGGTCAAGCCAGGGCCTGTCTTATATCAATGTTCGGTCTCTCTGATCTTTCTAGACAGCTATCTGAGTGGTTCCATCGTGAAGGGGGGGGGTTGTCGATTGATTGTTGACTGTGGCTTGGCCTTTGAGGGGAAAATGGTATCCTATCCTTACCCTACTCTGACCTTTTTTCTGCAATTTGTTTAATTTTCAGGGACTATAGTGGACACCTGGCACTGATCTATTTAAATGCCATTAGAAGGGACCGTGGGGTCTACAATACAAAAATAATCATTTGGAGAGGATCAGTGGTTGATCTGTACGGGCCCAAGACCCTAATCAGTAGTGAAAGTGCATTGCAAGGGTAAAGATCATTTTACGTGTCGAGAAAAACTGTTCCTTCAGTGATATAACGCCAAAACGAAAGTATAAATAAATGTCTACGTATTTTTCTGAATAATTAGCCTTTCATTTCTGTTCGCAAGACAGCAATGATATAACCATTGGCAGATATATGAAAACAAAAGGTCGATTGGAGAGTTTCATCATTAGAAACTTGTAATGATCAAGTTCATTATTTTGTGATACAAGTTTTACAGTGGAATTTTAGTAACCAAAAATTAAGGTGACCAAGATGAATAGATATACCTTTCCGATCGCTGTGAAATCTACGTTTAAAGCTGAATGGTCCAGTGCCTTTGGTGGTTTCCGCTGCCACTTCAAATTCATACTGCGGACCACATCGTGGGATAGGTACCACTACAAACAAACCTTCAGTCCGTACTACATCAGGTTCCTCGTCACTGTTGTACAGCCCAAACTTGTAAACGTAGTTCTCAATGATGGAGCCGTTAGAACAGTTGACAGGGTTCCAAGTGAACTCCCTCCTTGGCTCATTTTGGAAGGAACTAAAGGATGCAGTTATCACGGGTGCGAAGGACTCATCAAAAGGGTCTGAAATCAGACGATAAAGAAACTTCCTTCAGTCACTCTAGAAGGAATAAGTGTCTGGTGTCAAGACGTGTACTGAAGGACCAAACATGAAGCAAACTGTTTCCTCAACGCCTCTCAGACCTCCTTCCATGTGTTCTTTGGTTGTCAAATTAAGATCCATTCAGGTACAACCAAGCAGTTCAGTGAGCTTCGTAGACGAGTGAAGCTTGGAACAAATATCGGTAAAGGCAGAGTTTGAAGCTGATAAGAGCAGTGAAATGTATCATGCTCTGGGTATGAGTCACTCTGTTGCATCAGTTGTATAATGGCATAATGATAACCAGTCCACATAGGATTTATGATTGGTTACTGGTCTGAAACAAATGGCTTGATATCAAAGTTGCACAGTTGATCTCACGAAGTCGTTTGGCATGAACGAGTCTACAGCAGTACTTTTTGGGAGTTGACAAAATGTTTACTCTTATGGATGCTCCCAGCTGACAGCAAAGTTTCTACCGTCAAAATAGAACAATGACAAGAAACTACAGTTTGGGAATTGTTGAACTGCAGGACAAACTGAGACTGCTTACCTAGGAAATCTGTGCAGGTTGTGCTGCATGATGCCTTACTGCCATTGAATGGAAGACAGTTTTCTGCCATGGAAAGAGAAAATGATACATACATCAGTGACGGTTGAGTAGGGCACGAATGGCAGACAGGTTTAAGGCAGAGAAGGGTAACTGTGTTGTTCTGTGTTACTAATGGCAGATTGAGAAATAGGCAACCATCTGACATGTATACAAATAACGAATTTACAACAATTGATCTGCAACATAGCATGTTCATAAAAATTAATGTTTAATCTTTTAAAAGGCATTACACTTTTGTGTGTACTTCTTTAGCATAAAAATATTTGTGTCGTTGGTCCAACATGATTTTACAAAAGGAAGGGGGCCGGCACAGCCGTATGGGGCAGAGGACGCTTAAATGGAGGTTAATCCAAAGACGCATTGGCATATCTTTCGTGAAAACAATGTCCGTTTTGTAAAGTTATTAAATTACCAGCTGGGGGCAACAGGTGAAATGGAATATTGGAAGTGAAAGGTAGCAACCTAAAAATAAATCGCAAACGAAGGCGATAGGGCGCGTAAGCGCCACATCTTGGCTTGGTAATCTGAGTTTGACAGAATTTGTTTACAGAGTTGGAACACGACAAACATTAGCTGTATTATCACAAGTACGAAGTCAAGAAACCAAGAAAAATACCTTGGCAATTGATACCGGTAAATCCTGGGGCGCAGTTACCAGGACACGCTCCCGTCGTTTGATTGCATGCCACCCCATCCATGCAGTGACACAGGCGACAATCTTGTCCATACGTGCTATTGTCACAAACTAAAAACAACGAACATGAGTGGTAAGTCCATGCACCAACATGCTAAACTTAGAACGATCCATTTGCATATCCTATGGGTGCACCCTCGCAAAAAGGCCCTAAATATGTCCGCCAAGCTCATTAATAAAAGTTATAGACTCAAAATATTCTATATTAGAGAGTCCTGAGAGCCATGAAATTGAGGAATTGGAGAAATATGGCACTGAACCCCTGGCCCGGACTCTGGGTATCAAATTCTGAGTAATTTG